TTCCTGTCACGCACAATATTCATGCCCAAAATTTGCTGTGCAGGGCCTAGGTCCTTCATGTCAAAGGACTGTAATAACTCCTTCTTCAGTGATCTGATTGTTGTGGCATCTTGTCCAACGATCAACATGTCATCAACATAGAGCAGAAGTATGATAAAGTTTCTACCGAGAAATTTCCTGACATAGACACACTAGTCTACAGTAGTTCTTTTGTACTCATGATCCACCATGAATGAGTCAAACTTCTTGTACCACTATCTTGGCGTTTGTTTGAGGCCGCAAAGACTCTTCTTCAATTTGCAGACCAAGTTTTCTTTCCCTTTTATTTCAAAACCTTATTATTATTCAATATAAATTTCTTCCTCCAAATCACCATGGAGAAATGTCTTCTTTACATCCATTTGTTTAAGTTCCGAATTCAACCTGGCTGCTAGACCCAAAACTACTCAAATGAATGTTATTTTCACAACTAGCGAGAAGATTTCATTAAAATCAATACCTTTCTTTTGCCCAAAGCCTTTCACAACAAGACGTGTCTTGTACCTCAGATTCTTGCCATCATTCTTCAATTTGAAGACTCACTTATTTTTCAGAATTTTCCTCCCTTTAGGCAACTTCACTAAATCATAAGTCTGGTTTTCAAGCAAGGAATTCATCTCCTCGTCCATGGCCTTTTTCCAATCACCTTTCTTTGCATGCTCAATTGCTTCTTGGTAACTCCCGGGCTCCCCTTGATCGGAAATCAACACAAATTCATTGGGAGGATACTTTCTTGAAGGTTGTTGGTCCCTTGTAGATTTCCTTAACTTAAGTTGTGGTGGCGGTTCTTGAGTTGGATGCTCTTCCTCAATTTCTGGCTCAACTTCATTAGGATTAGCATCATCTTCCACATCTTCAATAGGTGGCTACATATCTTCCCCATTTTCATCAACAATTGAAAATGAAGGAGATGGATCCATGTCAATGAGATCAATAGTTTTTGGCTCCGGTTGATTACCTTTGCCAAAGTCTTCAATTGTTTGGTCTTCAAGAAACACAACATCACGGCTTCGAATGACTTTCTTGTCGACCGGATCCCACAATCTATACCCGAATTCATCACGCCCATAGCCAAGAAAAATACATTGTCTTGACTTACTATCAAGCTTGGACCTCTCATCCTTTA